CCATAACCAAACGCAGGATAGAAGGGTGCAGCAGGTATGAAAGGCCTCCGAGATCGAAAAAAAGGGTTGGGACGCCTTCCTCGATACTGTTTCAGTCCAGGAACGTTTGTCCGCTTAGCGGAGACCTGTTAATATACCAAAACCTATCACTGTTACCCAATTGATCGCTAAAAAATCAATATTCAAGTAGAGCGACCTATCTACATAAAATAAGAAAAGAAACAAAATATGAAGTACCTTCAATTGACGGCCATGCAATTCTGATTCATTTAACAGTAGAGCATTCTGAACAGCCTCAACTTCAACAAACTCAACATAAGCAAATCCTTTTGGTTGACCAAACTTGTCGGTCAAAATTGTAACTCTGTTAACAGTTCCACAAGACTGAAAATGCTGCTGGACTTCCTCAGGAGTACATGCATAATCAACCTGAAGGTGAAATCAAACAATAGGTTCTCACTCTTGGTCTTAATGCTTACAGAGAGGATAGCAAATATCGCAAGGTAACAATTTAGAAAGAAATTTTTCCCCAGTGCAGATGAACTTAGTCAAAGACTTAGGAAAGCATACTAAAATTTGAGACTGCATTGTATAAGTACATTGAACTATACATTAACTAATACTAAGTACTTGTTTCAGTTTAAGTCAACTGACACAACTATATCTGTACCAGAAATTATCCAAACTAGTTAGATTGTGGACAGTAGGTGGCTACTTGAAATTTAAATCTCAAATAAAAACTTAATCACACTCAGAAACCTTCAATAATGTGTAGCCTACCGGAAAAAAAAAAAAGGAAAATAAAAAGTCTATATAAACATACAGTCACCTAGCAAGTGCAAGAAAAGGACAGCAAACAAACTCCGCGGATGGCACCCTGTCCTAGGGAACGCCAAAAGTAAAAATTAAAGTCTCTCCCAGGATAAACTCAGTCATATCCTAAACTACGATATCTTTAAATTCTGAAAGATTTGAGTCCCTCCAAAATAAATTTGACAGGATGGAAATAGATAGAGACAGAAAGCAGATCATGAAAACACATATGCACTATATAATAAAGTCCAAACTTAATGAAAAAGAGAGGGTTTTTGAGCCTCACATTACCAACATAGATGGATCTAGAATCCACCTCCTCCTTCTCAGCCTGAGACGCAGAACCACTCGAGGGATCTTCATTCACAATCAAAACACATAAAACAAAAACTATTAGCTGTACTGATAGATATCATTACTTGAAGCATTAAACCTTAGAGTAAAATTAGATAGGGGATATCATGTCTCATCAATTACAAACATGAGCAGTTCATTATGTCAGCCTACTGTGTGACCAACAGAGAAAGACCAAAGATGTTAAATTAGACAGAAGCTAAGAGAGTTCAGTTATTTATCATATTAAGGGCACATAGTTACACAGAAGGATTAATCTAGCTTACATAACAGGGCAATAACTACTAGTAAAACCATTCAGAACGACACGCATACACAAATGCAGAACAAAATCTACAAACCCAATAAATTAAAATGAATAACCATCGGAATCAGGAAGTTTATACATTTAACAACGGACAACCATGGTCGGTTAACGCGTATCATTAAAACTTTCCTGTTCTTTAAGCTGGCTTACATAAAAGGACAATGACAAACAATCCTAGTAAACCATTCAAAACGGCACGTGTGGATGTACCCAGAACAAAATTACCAAAACCCAATTGTAGAAAACCAATAACCTCCCAATTCAGGAACCCCATTGATTCAACCGGCAACAACTAACAACATGGGTCTCACCATGCGAACATGTACTCAGAACAAAACTACAAAAACCCAATTGTACAAAATCAATAACCTTCCAGTTAGGGTACACTATCCTTTCAATCAGCGATAACTAACTACGTGGGACAGTTAGACGCATCAAAATTCAAAACAATTAAATATTTCCATTCGTTTAAGCTCTTGTGAATCAGCATATCCCCAGCACACATCACAAAGGGACAACATAGCGGATTATGACCTAGCAGCATCACCCACACAGTCATCATTAAGTTCCAATTCGAACCCACCAAAAAACCCAATGCAGACTAACCCTAGATAAAAAATATAATGCCCAAAACACCCAAAAGAAATTAAATTACAAAAACGAAAAGTAAAATTGGATACCTTGTACAGCGCCCATCTCCTTCTCGACCTTGGCCTGCATGTCGCGGAGAGCGCCGGCTTCCTCCTCTATCTCTTTCAGCCGCTTCTTCATGTCCTCCAGCTCCTACACCACATTGAAACCAGAACCCGACCCGAATCAGCCCAACATGGTCAAACAAGAAGCTAGGCCACCAGATTTTCGATGTCTAATCGATTGAGGGAGTACCTTGGAGTTAGGGTCGTCGTTGTAGTCTTCGTCGTCGGCCCCGTCGGCCCTGGACGACATGTCGACGTCTTCGCCGTCGTCATTGGGGATCTCGGCGCCGTAAACCTCGTGCTCATGTTGCTCCTCCATAGCTCTCTCCCCCGGTGATTGTCGGATTCAGTGTGATTCCGAGCGCGCGCGTGCGTCTGCTTTTTGAGGTTTTTGGTTTTGGGGATATTATATATTTGGGATCGGGCGGTCGGCCTGCTTGGGGGTTTGGGACTGAGGAAGAATGCGGCTCAAATTTGAAATTTTAGGAAATTTGTGGGGGTATTTTGGGGTTTTGACGTGTTTATCCGCTTGTCTTTGATAGTTTGATTAGTTCGTTAGATTCCGGCTTTTACGGCTGATCATGAACGTCCGAGATTGAACCACGTGGTTGAAAGAAAATCCTACGGCTGCAGTTTGCTTCTTCTATTTCGTTTTACTGTAGGTGTTCTAAACGGCGTCATTGCGACGATTGGCACGTTTTAAGAACAGCTACCCCAGAAATTGGACATGACCTAAAACAATACATACAAATTATATGAGGTATGGGAAGAGAGGAAAAAGTTATCAATACATGAATTTCAGAAAGTTTTTTTTTTTGAGTGTGTGTGTGTCAAAAGATAGATTTTGTTAGATTAGCTACAAACGGAATTCGAACTCACGCCGTCACTCAAGAGCTCAACTTATTTCCACCATGGTGGTAAAGGGCCGCTTGTAGAGCTTAATTGACTTTCATAAAAATGTGGATTTTAAGTGAATTTACATAGATTTTATTTTATTTTTGAACAAACGATATTATCCACACTAAAGGAGTGGGAGAGCAAGCTAAGACTCACAATGGGCAAGCAATAATGTTATTCAAATTCGCCTTTAGCGAAAATTGAACCTAAGACCTCTGACTTACCAATGAAGGGAAATACCATTAAAGTGTAGTTATAAGTGGCTTCTATGTAGATTTTATGAACCTTTTAAAACTTTTATCATGAATTTTAATAGAATTTTATGGTTAGTGTGGACCTTTTAATGGCTAATTTATTAATAATCGTTACCATTTTCAAATTTTAAATGTTTATAATATTAGCATGGAAGTTGACGTTAAACTGTAAAATGATAGAAAATCCATAGAAAATCTCACTTTTAAAAATATCCTCCTAGCATTTCTCTTATTTGGAATGATGATTATGACCTATGACTATGAGATTGCAAAACTGGTGGTGGCAACGAGAGTCATGAAAGTTAAGGTAAATATTGAGATTACTAGAAGAGGCCGAGGTTTTGAATTCATATCCCCCTCCTCTCTCAATTAATTTTAGGGAGCTTTAACGAAACATTCTCGGTACTATTCATTTTTAACAAAAAATCACATTTTTAACTTTTTCCGGTACTATTTACTATACCTTTATTTGTCATTTTTTCATTAAAACTAAAGTTTTTATTATTATTTTTTTTTTATTTATTTATTTTTTTTACTTTTCGTTAGTTTTCATTTTATTTTATGATTCAAAACATTAGGTTTTCAAGTCGAGCTCATGCACTAAAATTGTCTTGATAATTTAATGTTGCTTTTTTTTTTTTTTCAAAACAAATCATTTAAAAAAATTGAAAGATTCTAACCTGAAAAATCATTCAGGGGAAGTGAAGAGCAATGCAACGTTATCAATAATTATTATAGTTAACCAACATGTAAATATTGTTGATGTACAAAATGGACAAGTAACAAGCATCGTCAATGGTGTCCTAAAAATTATCCCTACCACCACCATATGTCATTAAGTTTAAAGACTTGGTGGCCTTCAATGGGGCAGAGAGCCAGTTCCTGTAGTAGAGGGATTGCCCGAGGCCCTAAAAATTTTTCCAACAATATAGCATTACCACGGTGAAACCAGTTGGGGTTTGAGTGGGAAATGAGGTCCATCCACGTGAAAACTTATGTGCAGCTCTTCAGGTACTTCCAGCACACGCGCGGTTGCCCCAATAGTCCCAGATAATTGCTAACGTAGTTGCAGGGCGTGGATTCCACAGCGTACATGCGTCTTACAAGAGCTGTTTTTCGAACTAAAAAACTTTCATCAAAATCGTTTTTAATTATTCTGAAAGCACTTCCAAATATAGAAAGTGTTTATACACAAACCCTAAAAGCAATTATATATATATATCCATCAAAGCAAAAACCCTTTAACCAAATGGATGAAGTGATGAGGCCTAAACAGCCTGTCAACAAGAACAAATCTTGGTTAGTGGCCAAGGCATTGAATTTTTCTCAACATGTGGGATTTCAAATTGCCTAATACGTGGAATCATATCTCAATCCCAAAAGCACCTCAAAGATGCTTTTTGCTGTCAAAACGCCAAAAGCCAAAAGCACCATAACACTCCCTTGGCCTTAATAAAATGGCAACCGGCAATGAGCCTCATTTAGGCAAGAACAAATTGCTTTTCTTACAGGATCGAGTTGGCTGGCAGATTGACCTCCATGTTCCTCCCTTTTTCTCCGAAGAATATATTCCTTGGTGTCAGCCAAATTGTGCAAACACACACATAAAGGATATAACAAAAATAAATTTTGGCACTGAAATTATTTTTGTTCTTTTTATAGGTTATAAATAGCGAGTTCAAAATCTAATCTTTATATCCCCATCTCAGCATTTTAGCAGGTTTACGAAATCTCCACGAGATTTGAGCCTACGAACGGTTAGTTAACAGTCGACCATGGCGTGGGAAGTAAGAAGAGGGAGAGAGGTCTCACATGAGAGTAAGAGCCTTGTTTGGTAGCCAAGGATGACTTGCCTGCTCTACCTAGAGAGACGAATTCCAATCTGTGTTCTGAGTGAGGAAACTCCAGTTTGGCTAGGCAGGCTTCCTGGCTAAGTTGACCGGCACTTCTTCCTCATGCCAGGCCAAAATTGGGGAAATTAGGACTCTCTCATAAAAAAAGGTGTGAGCTTTTTAATTTGGCTAAAGTTATGCGCTTTTTCTTTTATTTTTGTCCTTGAAATAATGTAGTTTCTAATGAGAAGATGTGCACAAAAATGAATGAAAAAATTAACTCAGTTGCAAATGGAACTAAAGTGAAAACAAAACGAAACTATAACAACGGAAATGCAAGAAAAAAATTTAGAGACAAAAGTGAAATTTCGAGCAAGTCACGAGATATAAGTGGACGGTAAGAAACGGGTTCGGTTGTACTAGTACGTACCACTCAGTGGTTCATATTTTATGCAAGATCTAATTGTTGCAAAGATCTATTAAATCTTTACATACAAGTTCTAACCGTTGATTTTTCAGACCACTCAATATACGTACCATGGAAGAAGAATTAGTCCTAAAAATGTGGGTGCATTACTTTCACTTTACTTTCATCAAGTATTATGAAATTCACTTTCGTACCGAAATTTTTTTTCGTCTCACTTACATACCTAAAATTACGTTTTTCTCTCATATTCATACTTTTATTAAATTAATTGTTAGAAGTTCCGATAAAGCTTGTTATGATCTGCATGTGGACAATAACAAGTGTGATGATTAACACACCTTACAGGGGTGATTGACACGCCTACGCCAGAAAGTCGGAGACCCCATTAAAGCCAGGTGGGCCCCATTCTTGTCAACAGAAGCAACGGCTGGATTTCCTCCCTTATATAAATCTATTTGGCGGGAGATGTCGTTTCTGTAATTTAAGGTATTTTCTTTTGTATCTTCTTCCTTCTTCATCTTCAGCTTGTTATTCATTGCCAAGTAAAAGGAGTGTGTTTATTTTCTGCATTACCAATTCGCAAGCAACACAAATTATCAAAAAATGCAGGAACTCCAATCGGATTGGTGCTCCCCACTCGCCCCCAAAACAATATCATTACCTCATGTAGAACAAATGGCTGAATGAATTAAAGACAAAATCAAGCAAAAGAAAACTAAGGGACGCAATGGAAATTTTCAAATTTGGCGTTAGAGCTCAAATTTGGGCTCATGATACCTTTCCAGAAAAAGAACGACTGCCCGGTTCAAATTTACAACTTTGACTTGATGTACAACATGTTTTAGCCATTCGAGGTCATTTAGGTTTCCCAAAAAGCAATTTAATTTCTGTAATAAAAATTAGACTTTGTTTCACGTTGGATTATTGTCATTGTGTGTTGGCCAACAGAACAACACCGACCCGGAATTTGAATTTCAATGTACGAATTTACATTGCTTTCTGGGGGGTTTAGTTTTACTTAAATTTGAATGTTGAAGTAACATATATATCTTCAAAAGCATCTAACTTGGTTTCTTTTGATTGATTTTCGGTGCAGAGCCCCGATGGGTTAACTGCGGTATCAGCCGTCGGACAGGAGACACTTCGATTATGGGAGATCTTCGGACCACCAAGCATTGACAAAATCTCTCCTCCGGATACTCTCTTATACGTCAAGGTGGATACAAGATGTAGTTAGTTTATAGAGAGAAGAAAATGTACATGAACAGCTCTATATATTGTTGGAAACCACAGAGAAATATACATGTCATATGCCTAAGTTCTATCTGCTCATTACTTATGGATACCGCAAAATTTAGTACATGGCACCGCCTAAACTCAAATGACCTCTATCACATTCGGTGCAACATAGAAGGCAACGAGCCAAAATTGCTTCCGGATTGTCTTAACTGCAAATAAACTGAACTCATTCGGTCTCTGAGTCATCGCTCTTGTTGTCCACATAAATCTCTGGAACTTCGCCGTCTGATGTCTTCTCCTCCTCCTCTCTTTTCTTCCTCTCTTCTTCTTCCTCTCTTTCAGTAGCTCGAGCCTTTGCTATTTCAAGCCTAGAACTGACTGCTTCCCATGATACGAGTTTCTCCAGGAAGACTGATATGTAATCTGCTCGCCGGTTCTGAGGGAAGAATCAAAGATGTGGTTGTTAGATGCATTGGTATTAGACAGAATGCATAGGCCCGAATCATAAGATGTAAGTTCAAATGTTCAATAAACAGAGACTCACCTGAAAATCGAGGTAGTAAGCATGCTGTTGAAACAAAAGCAAATTCAAATCCGTTAGTAATGGCTTTTCCCAAAAGAACTGATCAATATAACTATTTTCAAATAGGAAGAAACATGGTAGATGTTAAATACCTCCCAAACATCGATAGTAAGGAGCGGCTGCATAAAATCGATAAGAAAACTCATTACACATGAGAAAGAAAAAGCTTAATGTGATTGGTATGATTTCGTTTATACTATCTTTACATGAAAAATGATACAGGAAGAACTGGGCCAGTCATAATACTCACGGAATAATCCCAAATAAGGGGGTTAACGGCATTAGGACTCTTCACCACTACAAGCTTCTTGTCTTCATCAGATGGCTTAGGATTTACTGCGTTTCCAACATCAAGTCTATTCGCTTTATCTGGCATGCAAAATTCGGCATCAGAGGAATATCAATCTTCAAGCAAATAATATGAAGTGTTGTGGGTAGGCAACTACTAACATGCAAGCCAAGCCCAGCCAGAGCCAAACTGTGTACTTGCCGCTGACCTTAAGTCGTCAATCAATCTCTCAAAAGAACCAAAGTCTCTATTAATTAGTTCTAGAAGTTCCCCGGAAGGTTTTCCCCCGCCACCTGGTTTCATGGATTCCCAGAAGAAGTCATGGTTCCAGGTCTGCAAACAGGTAAAAAAGGAGTAGGTAATTAACATAATGGTATTGATACAAAAGTAAACATTATACGCTTGAAAAAAATTTCAAAGACACATCAGGTGGATGTAATCAGTATTTACTTTAACATTAAGTAGCCGTAAATTCACCAATGTCGAACATGAGCTTAATTTCAACACAAATGTATAATTTCAGATTGAGATACACTTCCCCACGCACCCCAGAATATTATCAACTCAAACAAATCAAAATCGTGATAAAAAATCATCTCACGGCCAGCATACCTGCGCTGCCTGGTTGAAAGGGGGGAGCAGATCCCCCCTGTTGTATGTAGCAAGTATGATATCCTCCAACGACAATTCATCTAGTTCAGTTCCCGCTATCATCTTGTTTAGGTTATCCACATAACCTCTATGGTGCTTCCCCCAGTGGTATTCTAACGTCTCCTTGCTCATATGTGGCTCCAATGCATCCTGCTCAAATTGACAATCAAACAAAGTGTCGAGTTTTAAACATTGGCTCGGCATTTTCATACAAAGCGAACAAGCACCCGAATTTTATGGTTCATTTCCAGCAAAACTAGGTAGAATTCTCAACATATAGCTCACTCAATGTATAGTTTCTTATACAAGCACCTGAATTTTCATGAAATGCTGAAACTTCATGGAAAATGGATCAAAAGGCAACGGTAAAACAGTAATTAGCTACTGAAATGAGCTTTTGATTCTAATTTCATATGCGAAGAAAAATCCTACTTACCAGTGGATACGGAGGAGGCTTCAGCTCAAATTGTGCCCTAATATCAATGGCGTAGACTTTCCTTCTGCATTGTCTCTGCTTTGACAGCATTAAAATTCCAAATTAAATACAAATAATAAACAATATAGTGGCGGATTCGCGATACAACTTTTTCTACACAATTTTTTCTACGTTTATGTTTTAGCTCTTTTTTTAAAGATTATGTCTATTAAAAGTAAGCCAACTTAAAAAATTTGACCGTTGGATTAAGGGTTTAGGATTTATATAGAATCGTATTCATCAATGTATTGTCCATTTTCTTCGCTACAATACAAATAAATATCTTAATAATTTTGGATTTGTCTAATTTATGTAAGAATTATCCCGAACGATGTTTTAAAAGATAGACAGTTCAAATGATTAAAATCGAAATAGGCAAACCTGTTTCTTTGGCCATTGCAATCTTCGAGCTGGTCCCAGACTTCCATGGAGCCCTGTAAATTTAGATTAACCGTTAAACTTAGTGGAAACCCATCTGCACACAGAGGAAGAGATGGAGCGGGGAAGAGGGTAATGACCTTGCCATGACGGACCCAGTGCGCAGGTTAGCGAACTAGGCGTGGCTAGCGCTGTTGTTACTGCCGCTGCAACTGCAACCGGTGCTAACATGTCCAAAAAGTTGAAAACTCTTGATAAAGATTAAGAATTTTAACAGGGGATAAGACTGAACAGTAATATTTATTTCCGGAGGGCAACTTTATTGGGCCTATCTTCTGCTTCGTCATTATTTATAGGGGTATTTATATGTCATTGTGTCGACGTGATGTCGTCAAATTAGGTAACCAATGTAGTACTAGGGGTGGAAAAAAATCCCGAAAATCCCGAACCGAACCGAAAAAATCCCGATCCCAAACCAAAAATTTCCCAAACCGAAATTTCCGAAATTTTCGGGATGCTATCCCGAACCAATCCCAAAATTTCGGTATGGGATTCGGGATTGACTTCTCGATATTTCGGGAATCCCATACCAAACCGAAAATATATAATATTAATTATTATATATATTTATACATATATATATTATTCTTTTATAATTGATGCTAGTAGTTTCTAATTCATGCTCAGCAACCTAGAATGCCCTACACCTTGCATATTTTTCATGTTCTGTTTGATATTCATGTGGATTTTATTATTGCTACTGCCATGGCTGATGATTTCAAAAGGCTTGATTCTTTTGTCTCTCAACAGATTGCAAAAAGAGTTTAATTAATTTGAATTTTGACTATGATAAAAAGAGTCAAGCATGCCAGTGTTCAATTAAATGGTAGTGTGAATGAAATGAAATTCCTAGTTCATAAATGTGTTCTTGAATTATATATTTGAAGAACAATTCATAATTTCATATTTCAATTTGGGATTCCCGAATTGTCCCAAAATCCCGAAAATATTTCGGGATTCCCGAAATTTGGGATTCCCGAAAATTTGGTTTGGGATTGGTCTTCAAATTACCGTCCCGAAAAATTTCGGTTTGGGATTCGGGATACTAGTTTCGGTATGGTATCCCATACCGAACCACCCCTATGTAGTACCAGTACGAGTGTACTAGGGCTGGGCAAACAGGGCTTAGGCTCGCGGGGCGGCCGGGTTCATGTGGTTTGTGGCGGATACGGGTTGGATTTGAAAATTTGTGAAGACAAAATAGGGTGGAACGGGTTCACAAAATTAACGGGTTGGAGTGGGTCCAAAAGTTAAAGGAAACGGGCATCAGCTAGATCCGTTTCTCTCAATTTTAACTCTTACAAGTGATAGATTTTATGTCGATTCTTGTTAAAGATGAATCTGGACCATATTATTGCTAATTGAGACTGAACCTCTTCTCTCTTCCTTAATGTAAATACTTTCATTTGTTCAAAAATAAAAAATAAAATAAAATTTGTATCTGGGTAGTAGACTAGTACTAGTACTACATTTGTGTTTCTCCTGTGTGAGTACGCTTGTACTACATATGTTTTATTTATGTTTAATTTTGTTTAATTTATTAATTAATTAATTAATTTCTTCTTTTGCTGGCAAAGAATGTCATCCACCATCCTTTTCTCCGTTTCCGGATTCACTGTCTTCTTCTCCGCCGTTTACATCACTCTCCATCACAACTCTCTCTCACTCAATTCTTCTTCGCCAGAAAAAATAAAGGAAATTTTGCGCAAGTACCATATGAACTTAAAAGCATGTGCGTTAATACCATATAAACTTTCAATTGTAGTTTTTTACTACCTGAATTCTCTTAGTTGTTAGAATCTACTATCTACGGTTATTTTCCATCCATTTTGCCATCAAAGCATGTCACTTGTGGGGGTATTTTCATCAATTGACTTCATAGGGATGGTTAGAATAAAATAGCTCTCAAATAAAACTATCCAAGTTAATATGGCACCAAAAGTGGACGCATAAGTCAAACCCCCAAATTTATAAAAAAATTACTAGATTTTTGCATAAATTAGTTGAGTATGCTATAGTTATGATTGCATAGTCCTAAAAACATTTTATCTGCGGGATGGCAAGCCAACTGATGAACAACATCAAGCCTCCAACTGTGCAGATTAGGGGACAACTTGTGAACCAAAATTCTGGTTGCTGCTTTTCTTGGGGGTAAAATATTTGGTGTGGTGGGGAAAATGATGACTATCCGGTATTTTTCGTGACATGTAAAAACGTATTTTCGTCATAATGATAGATTCATGCTTTTTGTAATTCCATAAAGTTTAGAAACAACATAAATCATCCATGGTAAACTTGTGCTTCATCAACTATAACAAATAAGTTATGGGAATTAGGCATGTAATAAATACCAAAACTTGTGCTTCATCAAACATAGTTGTTTTCCTTTCTCTCCAGGAAACCCTTCGTATCCTGCTACAACAAAGACCCTTCCTCCGGATGCTAGTTTATCATATTCTTTCATGTAAAATGATTTGAGGAAATTTAGAAAGTTGATTGACGAAAATGCCCCCACAAGTTATATGCTTTAACAACAAAATGAATGGAAAATAACGGTTGGTGGTAGATTCTAACAAAGTTTAGGTGGTAAAAATACAAAATTGAAAGTATAGATGGTATTTGCACACATACTTCAAGTTCAGATGATATTTGTGAAAAAAAAAAATCAAACTTCAGTGTTTTCAAAACCCAAGTTATGTTCTCATTTCTCCAAATTCCAAAAACGATGAGCAATCTGAGCTCGAATGTCACCAGCCACTCTTTTTGGTGACTTTTTTTTATCTTCTCATAAACGCATTTGTAATCATTATTTTTAAGACTGGATTTCCCATCTCCACCTCCGCCGAAGAAGGTACTTCCAAATCCGCATCTACCAACTCACTTATCATGAAAAAAAATTCTAAACTGTGATTATGCATCACAAGTTAATCAAGAATCAACTAACGTATGTATGTATTATGTAAGGGTAATTTTATGAGACTAAATTTTAGAAATTAAATGACATGAAAATTGATGATTAGTTTATTACTTTTTTTTTTATATCTCGAATTAGTTTATTACTTAAACGTTGATAAACGTGCTCAATCCTATTAATGATACATTATTTAGTTTACAAATTTTACCCCCAAATTTAATTTCCCTAGCATTACTTATATATAAACAAAAAAAAAAGCCAATAACAAAATGTGTAGTATGAATAATGTTTATTTATTTATTAAAATAGACATTAATACATTAAATTAATCTAAATTATATGGAAAAATTCGAACTTTACACATTTAAATTTATCAAACGAGGAGGAACATTTGCACTTAGATACAGATGGAAGCTCACTGAACCTGGGTATGCAATAAACAACTCCATTTAGATTCGGCAACTTCTTGGCAAGGGGAATACTCACAAACAAGCAAGTACCGTAATTTTTTTTTTTATCACTTATTAATTCGTCTAGTGGTATAAATTTTAGTCTAGTGAAAGATAAACTCCACTTGTGTATGTTTATTTTACGTTATTGGTCCCTAGCGCGGATAAAAGAGGAGGAGAGTGTGTCAGAAAGTCGATAGTCGGCATTATGTTTTTCACATCAAATCGCTTATTAAGTCGATCCCTATTTAGTGAGATAAGACTTGATTGTTGATATTAGTAATACGGTCTAGTGATGTTTCTCTTTATTTATGTGAGAAATCTTAAATTCAAATCTCATAGATGATGAGTTGGTAATTAATTTACACTCGTCCCTTATTGTAAATATATCATAAGTACCCCAACTTTTAAATAAAAATTGAAATTTAATGGAGAATAAACAAACAATAGATGAACATAAAACCACGATTAATTTCGCACATCCAAGACGACAAACCGAAATGCCATGGGACGAAACGACATCATTTGCATCAATCATGCAACGCAAGAAGGTGCCAAAATTGCCAAAAGGCGCAACATTTCACATCCACGCAACAAAACTTAGACACTCCATCAATAAAATCTACAACCATTAATTCACTTCCATCTTCGTCTTCTTCTCTCATTTCCTACAACCTTGGATTTGGTTCTTCAATGGCAGACATGAACTCCGACCAATCTTTTCAATCACCAAACACTCTGATGCCTTCCACACCTCTCCAACTGTCCGGTTTTCTCACCGGAGACACCATCAAAGTCAGAGGCGACACCGGAAATCTGAAGTTCTCAGTACAGTTCAGTGTCCAGGAAAAACAAACTCCTGATCACGAGAATTGCAGCATCCTCAACTCTCTCGATGCAAATGCATGTTTCCCCGAAAACCATTCTGGTGCGAGTTCAAGTTTTTCTTCGTACAAGACACCAAACGATGTTCAAGAAGTGCAAGATCATGGCAATGAAGTAACTCAGTCTTGTGAGACAAGAAAGAGTGGAGAGAGTCACATTGTGACCAGGCTGAGAAGTGGGGTGATATCGCGGCCAGTGACCCATTTTCCTCGGATACCATTGTCCTCGGGTAGGAGTTTGATTAGGCGTTGTGGGAAGGAGAGGCCAAAGAAGAAAAAGTGTGACGTGTTTGAGAGAGTGCTTAGAAGGCATAGTTGCCCTATAAGGCCATGTACTTCATATGCTTTTTTTGTGATGGCCGCTTGGGGTTCTGCGCAGTCCTCTTCGTTTGGTGAAAGGAGTAAGCAACTGGGTCGAATGTGGTGCCAACTCCCTCGAAACGAGAAAAAGGTTTGTGATTTCTCTCGCTATGCGATCATTTTCAATCACCAACAATTCGGTTTTCTTCTAATTAATACAAATGTAATTTTGCAGTTGTACGAGAAGATGGCGATGAAGGACAACGCAAGGTACAAGAGGCAATGCAGCCTGTTGATAGGAAAGCCGCTCGGAGCAGTGCCCAAAGGCAGCAGATGAGGATAACAGAACATGTAGAATCAAGAAGAGCTTCTCGATGATTTATTATTTTGTTGGTTATTATTATATTTTTGTTACATTTCCGGTTTCTAATGATGATGTAACAAAATTTATGCACTACATTTTCCTTGTAAATTAAGCCTTTGATTTTCTGGTGTTGTGGAAATTGTGCATTTTCGTATACAAAACAGGAGAGCGAAAACCGATGACGAAATCAGAGGAAGAATTTCTTCTTCAGCTTAAAACTTTTTACTTCCTGTTAGCTGTGGTTCCTGCAGCAAAGCGAATCACCAAGGAAAGTTCAAGCAAAATATTGGAAACCAATGAAAACATTTCTTATGCCTCGAAGTATCACGTTCTTCAAATTTCCAATCTTTTTAAGATGCTTTTTGCTACAATACTTTTGCATCTTGTTCTTTGATTCTATTCCGTTCCGTTCGAGCATACGTTGATTCAAAACTATTGACATGTCGAATTATTTGAGATGCCTCAGCTTAACATAGGGTTTCAAATCTTGACAGGGAAAAAGACTAATGAGGTTTGAACTATCCGTCGGGGAGCCTGCTTACATTGTTTACTTGGTGCAGCTTTTACATGTTCCAGTGCAAGGAAGTTTCAGATACAGATTTTATCGGTTAGGGTTTTGTTTGGAATCCTAACACCCATCGATCATCATCCAAGAACAAGGAGAACATAGGATTGGTAAACAAAACGTTGAACACAAGCCGATACAAAATTGGGTTTCTCCGATAATTGTACACACGAATAGTAGGCTTGGGCACGATTAATAAATGATTATGCGCAATAAATTGGAGATCCTGCACCAATAGCTACAAGAAGAAAGGCTTTTTATACACATCAAATGCTTGATTGGCAGTTAGCTGTGGTTCCTGCAGCAAAGACGGTTCAAAGGAGAGTTAAAGATGCTAACCGAAACCAGCTTAGTTGACATAACATCAAGTTTATCAAACATCTAATTTGGGATCATTTAACTGCTCACACAATTTGGCATGTCATTTCGAATCAAAATACTGCCAACAAACATCAGATTCTGTGCGATAATCATACCTGTCTTAGCCCGCCAAGACTCCCTCCTGTCAAAAGCATGGAGATAAGAGACGTCACAATACCACCTCCAACACCGTTATCTGTGTTACGGATGGTAGATCGCATTGCATTCAACATGTTCCCATACGTGGTTCCATGTCCACGCTCGATGGCTTGGATGAAAGCATAAGTCATGGCACCAGTCGAAGTAATCTTGGACAAAGCCTGCACACGTGAAGCATTAGCTTTGTTTCTTTTAACAGCCTTATGTTAGAAAACGAGACATTGCTAATCTAGCATAAATAACAGTTTAAGATTTTGTCCAAGACTTTACTGAGGTATCGGCCGAGGTTTGATCATCATCACAACCACTAAAGGAAATGGCCTCTCCACCGTTTGTTCCCTTCCAAACACCTGATCTAGGGCGATGATCCTCCCATACATAGTTCCCGTTTCTAGATCCACACACCAGAACGAATAAACAAATAATACATAGAGCGATGATAAGCCAAAACAGATTGCAGGAGTAACATTATGCACATAAACATAACAGAAGATCGAGCAGTAGTTACCTGTCCATCCTACAGAGATATGGTAAATCTAGCACAGTACCGCTATGACAAGCGTCTACAATTGCATGAAGCCTTGCCCCAGCAGGTAGAGGTCTGACAATTGTCGCATTGATCTCATCATCAACAATCATCCCTTGAGTCTCGAAATCCAAAGGACAAAGCGTTTCATCAAATCCATCCACCTCATCCCCAGTGTAGTTCCTCTGTTGTGATCCATGACCAGAATAATGAAACACCAAAGAATCCCCTGCTTGACAACCTTGCATAAGCCAATACATCGCCATTCTCATATTTTGCTTGGTCGGGCGCCTATAAGGATCAACTTCTTCTTCTGCAAGAAACACTCCACATAGAGATTTAGATTAAGGTCAGAAGTTTCTACATTACGGTTTTAGGAGCATTGTATCAATTACATTCTAAAGAAACCATAGTGCATTATCAAAGCAAGTTTTTACTACCATTTCACAGATACACGATTTAGATACGAAACACCAAGTAATGATTTTGAATTCTCAATTGTTATTGTTTTTATACGAGCGATATTAAACTCAAACTAATCTAAAATGTGGACGGGAATTCGAGCTTGGGTGCTTAAGGGGAGCACATCCGCTCAAGCTTAATCGTACCTAACCACATAAATGGTAATTGCACAACTGTTCATACTGTAGAAAAAATACCCACTTGACAAAAAAGATCGATGCTTTAAAGCAAATTTAGAATAATTCAATGATTTGCAACTCTAATCTATGGAAGATAAGAACACAAGAACTAGTCTTTGCTGAACCATAAGCTGAAATTTAACTAAAATTGGACAGATAAATACCCATATAATTCAACTCATACGCAACATCAAAAAAGTTTTAATCTTGAAGAATCGAAGAAATGGGAAGCTCAAGAGATTACCGGTGAGCATGAGAATGGAGTACTCGGGAAAATTGAACTTGTTGACCAGCAAGTACTTCATACACTTGGCGTCGTTAATGCAGCCCTTGAGCTCGTGCCGGGTCCGCTTATACGACACGGCGCATATCACGGCCCGCTTCCGCCCGTGCGCCGACGGCGGAGGCACCGGCGGCGCCTGGTTGTAGGGAGAAGGGGATGGAGGAGGTGCGTGGTGGTAAGATGAGGAGGAGGAGGAGGAATAAGGGGGAGGAGGAAGAGCGCGGGAGTCGTCGATTCGAGTGACGGCGTGGCACAGGGCGCAGCGGATCGTCCGAGCGCCGGGCGGCAGTTGCAGCGGCGTGTGGCAGCTGGAACAGTCTACCAACAACAACATGGTGGAAATTGAATTGGATTGAATGGGGAGGATTGTTGTATCGCAGGGAGAATGGTGAGAGAGAAAGATGAGGGAGAGAGGGATTTTATTGACTTGGTGGAATGGTTGTGGAGTCGGTAGGGACTTTGGGAGGAAGGTGGCGAGAAAGTCGATGGGAAGAGAAAGAGAAGAGAACAGGGGAAGAGGAACTTGACAAATTTGAGTTAGCTTGTAATTTTCAATTACACCAATCACAATTTGCCAAATGCCAACTAATATTATGTTTTTTTTTTAATTATTATTATTGAGAGGAGGAAAAAGATTCGAAACTAATATTATGTTCTTAATTTGGTTTTATGATATATTATACTCTCAATAACCAAAATGATATTAGAAATAGGGGTGTGATATCCACACATCCTATTTTACTTCTCACACACCTTTTGAATTTTCGGGCGTTGGATCGGATGAATTGAAAAAGATCAACAGACAAAAATTATCAAAGGGTATGTGAGAAGTAAAATGAGGTGTGTGGATAGCATATCCCTAAAAATATATGTATATCGGGGAAGGTAACTTTCGGTAGAGAGGGATCGAGGGGTTTCTAGGTACAACTGTCTTTTTTCTTTCAAAAAAGGGTTGGTATCTCGTCCACGACGGTTGACGAAGAGCTAGTCTCACATAATCTTTCTTTACAAAATTACTTAATAAAAATAAAAAAAAGTTAGGTTGCATTTTTCATGTATATTTTGCAATTTGTCTTTTCTCCATTTTAATTTAAAAGATGGGAATTGAATATTAAAATTTAATGTTTTTTTTTTTTTTTTTTCAGTTTGTAAGTGTAGTTTTATATTTGACTTATGTGGATGACGAGTTTAATACCAACTTATTATAAAAGATGATTGAAACAATTGCTTATACTAGAGTCTTCTGCAATATTTTTCTTTTTATGTCTTCCACTTTTCAAAATAAATAATTTTCATAAAGCAGATACAAAGTTAGTCAAATTAACTAAAATAGTATCATCAATTTTACATAACCAAATTGGAATCTTTCTACATATTTAGATGAATTTAGTATTCGTTTATCCCATTTTTCGTAGAAAAAAGATATTTTTCATTTAGAATCTCAATTATAAAATCCCACGCAATGAACAAAGAGTAAGAGACAAAGGTGACACGTTTTTATAAGAGAGTGAGATGGAAGTTAAATTCAAAATTCAAGATAACATGTCCAATTTTTGAATTATATATGCATGATGAAATTGTGTAGAATCTTCCATGATTGGATGATCGAGTGGTTTGGATGGAGTTGGGTTAGTTGGAGATTGGGACATAAAACTTTGCTTTTATTTTATTCTATTTGTGTTCATTTTTTTTTGGTAAGTAGCATTGCATTGACTACTAAACTACAAAGACAAAATTTACACCATTTAATTTATAATGGTTAAAAACGAAACTCAACAAAACCACGAGACCTAAGAATGAAATTTGGACCTTAGAAGTTAAGACTAATCATTACAGAGCTAACATTCACTCATTCGGTTCAGATAGTGATGAAAAAATCCACAACAAAAATGACAAAAAGATCAAAACTTTTTCTCTCCTCACAAACTCAAAATACCCCTTCATGTGAGGGTCTCACAAAAATTGACAACAATTACAAGTTACAACCACTAAAATAGAAGACGAAATTGTAGCAATGGTCTTTCAATTTTGACTCAATATGGTCCTTAGTCCCTTAACTCCTCAAAATATGAAGCTTTGGTCGTTTTCGTCAACTCTGTCAAAATGAGTTATGTTGAAAGAATTACTGCTATAATTAAGTTAAAATTAAGGGACCATTGATCAAATTGGATTAAAATTAAAGAACTATTGCTATAATTTTTTCAAAAAAAAAAAAAAAAACAAAATAGACATAATTCGAACCACGAGGGCAAAAACCGAACTCAAACAAAATTTTGGGGGTTTGCAAATGTGAAATTTGGTCTTCAAACATATACGACCCGTCGTTTCAGCGAGCAGATAGTATTTTACGACGAAAGGATGACAACTTTTTCCCTCCCCCCACGCGCAACAAAATAAAAAATATACGACCCTTGACTGATTGATACCCTACCACTCTCTCCCACACAGTGATTATTTTCTCGGGAAAGTGACAGAAAACAAAAGAAAATGGTGGTCAAGAGAAGTCAACCATCAACCCATTTGAGCAAGGATTCAAAGGTGGAGGTTTGCAGCAATGAAGATGGCTACAAGGGTGCATGGTTCCCCGCCAAAATCATCGACCCGGACCCCCCGATTCCGGCCACGAGGAAGAAAAGGAAGAGCCTTTCCGGCTGCAGCAGCAGAAGCTCCTCCTCCGCCACCAAGGCTCTGATCCAGTACGAGACTCTGCTCTCCGACAACGACCCGGACAAGCCCCTGACGGAGCTCGTCGAGGTGGGTCTCATCCGGCCCGTGCCTCCGTCCAGCATTGACGACAGGCCCTTCGAGCCCGGTGACAAAGTCGACGCCTTTCACCTCGACGCGTGGTGGCCCGGGGTTGTGATCAAGCTCGAGGAGGATGAGTACACGGTGGGGTTTCTGGACCCGCCTGATCTGCTTGTGCTGCGGCGGTCCGATTTGCGGTCGCACTGGGATTTGACAGACGGCGTTTGGGTCGGAGCTAAGAAGGAGGTACTGGTTCTGTTTTTTTGGTAATGCATGTGGGTTTCGTTTTCTGATACATGATTTTTCAGGGTTTTTGCTTGCATGGTTTTTTGTGTGTTTATTTATGAATTTTTTTGAAGATTTTTACCAGGGGTTTTCATGATTAAGAACATGCATGTTGTTTATTGTACATATTTGGCTCTGCCTTTTGTTGTTTTGCTTTAAAATTCCCTTTTTTTCTTCTTTTATTGCAATTTTTTAAGAGGAGCTTGCTAAATTGGCTGTTCATGTTTTAATAATCCAAATGTTGTAGTATTGTATACTTCTCATGAGTTCATCGGTTCTCTTGACCACTCTGTTGATGATTTACCAACCAAAGTTGTTATTTTTATTTCTTGCGGATTTGATAATAGACTCTAAGAAAAGGCATGGAGTACTCGGAGCTAATGGAAGACGAGCGCAGTGACGTTCTGGGGCTCGTATAGCCGACCCAATTAGTGGGATAAGGCTTTGTTCGTGGTGGTGTTGTTTTTGCGGATTTGATAATGTGTGATGCAGACCAGTAGTTGATACTGTTTGTGATTTGTAATTTCTTCTGGGATTACTCTGATAATTTTGTGTTTCTTAAATAAGTTTTCTCCACCTTGAATGCTCGTTTTAATCCCCAAGTTCATAGTATCTGTGGCTTAACTAAAATTGTATTTCAAGGAGCATTTGGGCTTGCTAAGTTATACGATTTTATTGTGAATCGAATCTGTTACCTTGGAATCTTTGATTCTTATGAAGTTTTACAATAAACAGAAAAAATTAGTAATCTGCTTATTAGTGTCACTTACTTATAGAAAGATCCGGGGTTCCGAGCTTGCTAACAATTTATTTTTGAAGAAAATAATACGCACATTAAAACTTGAATGATTATAAGCGTGTGATCCCTTTTAATAATAAGTCCGTGCTATACATGGCCAAGGATGCGATAGCCGCAGCATTTAAATCTGCTGCAGTTTTCTTTTTAATGTAATTATTTATCTCTATGATCTTTCTTTCATTTTTGGTTTTTTAGAGTTTAAAGTTTTGATTTATCCAGTCCTGTACGTAATTTTTGCCAATTCAAACCTTTCAACTCGTATGTTGATCTCTTTTGCAATAATCTGACTTTATTCTAATTTTGGGAGAGGATAGACATTTTGTATATACTATATATGATAGTCATTGACAGAAAACTGATATTTTTCACTATTGGTTCATAGACAATGACGGGACCAAATTTCATTCCTGGGACAGCAGTTGAAGTGAATCCCAGCAAAGTAATACCTTTTTATGCTTGGTTTCCAGCAATTTATCTTGGGCAGCTGGGGATCGACTCTTTCTTGCTTCAATATAAGATATCAAATAACCGGGATGTTAAAACTGTAGTATGTCGCCATCAGATTCGACCTCAGCCTCCACTGTCAGATGAAAGAGATTTTAGCTTGTTGGATAAAGTGGATGCATTCCATGACATGGGTTGGTGGGTCGGAGAGATTACGAAAGTTCTTGAAGGAAACAAGTACGCGGTCACCTTAAGCTGCACAAGGCAGGAGATGGAATTCAGCGTTTCAGAATTGAGGACTCACTTAGTTTGGCATGATGAAAGATGGAGTAATGAATTTCGGGTATGTGCATTTTCCTCTTGTTTTATAAAGGGAAGGGTGGGGGGTCCTTACATGTTTCTTATGGGTATGATGGTAAACATGTTTGAAACATTCTGTGTCTTGTGTGACTAAAATTTTGGCAGTTATTTCCAGGAATCTCACTTTAGAAGGGATTCTCAAGTACCAACAAAACATTCATGTCAGAGTTCCAGAAGTGATTACGAATTACAATCATGCAAGAGTTTTGGAAACTCTGAGGTAGCTACACCACTTCGAAAGAAAACACCTTGTTCTAGGATTTCATTGAAAAATCAATCGAAGCACTTGAGTCCTTGCATGGATAAATTACCTTATGTAATGACGAAAAAGAAATCGAAAAAGTCTCAGCAACCTAAAGATGATGAAACAATTGCAAGTCCTTCCAAGAAGTTAAAAGGTGGACACTCAGAAGACTCCTTATCGTTTGAAAAATCAAATGCAAGGAGAACGCCCGCTAAAACTCAAAACAAAGAATCCCCAGTAACTGATGTCGTGGTAAGTGAACTCTCAGAAAAATGTTGTTGGTATTAAATTATTTATTCTCCTATTGCTGAGTGTTCCATTGTGGTAAACAAAATCATGATTCCAGAGTCTTCCCGTTCTAAACCTCATTAACTTGCTATATTCTATGCATTTTACTCAAGAAACCCTGTAATCACAGAGAAGCGTGTTGGTTCACTCAGTATTGGTCATCGTACTTGAGTTGGTGAGTTTTATCAGCACTACTTAAACTATTCTGACAACACTCACCAACTCAAGTGATTCCAAGAGCAAGGTTAACTAGTGCTCATTACTGGGGAAATGTCTGCATGATATTTAAAGGGAAAACAACAAAAACTAGGCATCTGTTGCCTCTTTGGTTTGCATGGCATGATAATGCCTGATGGAAATGTTCTGAGATTAAGGTTAGGTTCATATTCTCGGAGGCCTCTTTGCTTGAGTAAGCAGTCCAAGCGGCTTGCCTTCTTTTAGGTCCATTCAAGGATAATTGGGATCAAATGTTTTCATCTGCATTGTTTCCTAATGGTCCTGATTAAAATGCGTTCATTGCTCTTGCAGAAGATTGAGAAAGCGAAGGTTGGAGGACTGGATGATCAAGCATTAACTCATTCTAAAAGAAAAGGTAAACCACAAAAATCTCAAATTGATATCCCATGACCTAGAGTAGGACATGATAGGAGGGGCAGACCACTGAAATTGCATTGTAAAAATATCGATCGCCCTCATAAACAGTCATATACACGATATATGTCCACGCAATCAAGCAATACTTTCTTTAATGTATTCCTTTGCCTGTACTTAGTTTGACTAACGTCAAGTTTGTGTCCTAGCTAACCCTGCTGGGACTGCCAACCAACAAAATGAGGATAATGGAAGACAGGTTGAAACTGGTGTCACAGGTGAGGTGGAGCAACATGACAATACACATTTGGTTCATGGAAAAAAAATTGAATCCATGGATTCCTTTGCCTGTAGCAAGTTTGACTAATTTCAAGATTGTGTTCTAGGTAACCCTGCGGGGACACCCAACCAACAAAACGAGGTTAACGGAAGACAAGTTGAAACTGTTGTCACAGGTGAGGTGGATGCGGAGCAAAATAACAGTACTTATTTATGGTTTTCCTTTTGCCCTCATTTGGTAGTACTTATTTATCCTATTTATTTTTATCTTGTGTTGTCTAAAATTTCAAGTTCTCAAGATGCAGTGAGACAGGTGGAAACTGTTGATTCTCCAGTAGATTGCTCGACAAGAGAACTTAAGTTGGCTGCTGTAAAACCTATAGAGAGCTCAAGTAAGCAAATGTGAACATTTTCAATAGTTTCCTTTGACTCTAGTTATTTGACTTACATCAAGCTTGTTTTAGGTAACCCTGCTGAGACTGCCAACCAACAAAATGAGGTTACAGGAACACAAGTTGAAACTGGTGTCACTGTTAACATTGAGCAACAAGACAGTCCAGATTTGCCATTTGTGAAATCTTATCCGGAAATTTGGGAGAAAGTTGAATCTATGGATGCATTTAAAAGATATCCGCAAAAACCACATTTTTACCCTTTAGTTAAGTGTGGAGAGCTAAGTCGTGAATCATTAGCGGTTGCAAAGATGTTAACCTTTGCCTCTTTGGTAGAGAAGACCTCCAAGTTGAACATTGAGGATCCTGGTGACTTCTTTGATAGCATCTTTGAAGAACTAGGTGATTTGGAAACGTTTGGATTTGATGTCAAGGCAGTACGCGATCGACTGAACTCTTTGCTAGAAATTAAAGTTCAGTTGGGGCACCTTCAGGATAAGTCAAAGGAAGTTCAAATCAAGATCGCGGAGCAAACTCAAGACAGAAAGAAACATAATGAAATAATCTGTGGGGTTGCTAAGCAGATTAAGGACTTGCAGGATCAACTCGTGGTGCTGATGTCAGAGGACGCTGCCAAAGGTTCTGAAATTAGCAGGTTGCAATCCGAAGCAGACGCTATCACTGAAAGCATTCAGAGCATCCGCCGTATGACACACTGGCTGAAGCATGGTGATCCTTGTGAAAGCATTCTTTTGATTACCGCTTTGTCTACGGAAACTGAATGTTGAAAGTGATACCAAGCTAATCTGTAGTTTTTGTAACAGCTATTAGCCCTAGAAACTCTGGCACCAGGTATCTGTACTGCAATGTCATCGGCCAGTATTAGCATATATTTATAGACCGGGTTCAACCCCCACATCACTTTCTGTTGGTTTCCTGTAAAATTTTATTTTCACCTTTTTCCGGTAAATCTTTAGCCTCTGGTTTCCTTTCAGCAAAATTTGAGCTTTCTCCTTTACCAAAAAAAAAAATTCGAGCTTTCTTGCTACCCTTGATTGATGGAGAGAAACTTGCACAACTGCGACGTCACGGTGACGGTATCCAAGCCAACCATGTTCAGTTATGTATTTTACCTTTTTAACATGATAACGCGTGATTAGTTTGGAATACCGTGACCTTGTCTGTCTAGTTAAAACTAAAGAACAAGAACTTTTACACACAGAATTGCAGGAGTCATTGATCCACAACCTAAGGGCAAGTAAAACAAAAACTTCAATGAACAAAACTCAGTAAGTACAACGAAATGGGCCTTACAGGGAACTGCCGCTGTTTCTTTTCTTACAAGGCAACAACACTGCTTGCTTGGACCCCTTTATATTTTCTTCACCAAGAAGGGCAAGATTCATTGTTCGTTGCGGACTTTGAAGCCGTATATTCTTGGAACATTGTTCTGAATCGCCTTCTGCGGCTTAAGATGCCCGTAGGTCAAGAAGAAAAGATGAGGAAATGTGGTTCCAAAGTATGCTCCATCAATTTCTGAGATTGTTGTCAAGGCAAACATTGAAAAACTGAACTCAAAACATAATTGTAGTTGTAAAAAATTCTAGTCACCATGTATCCCATGAAATTTAACGGGTGAATCTGAGCCACTTAAAAGACATTGTATAATTATGAGACATTCATAGATGTATAGAAGGCACTCGTCATGTCAATTACGAAGCGATACATAAGGATACCTTCTTGGTGTCTGGATTGTGGGGAATAAATGTCTTCACACTTGGGACAATAGATTTTTACAGTGCTTAATCTTGGGATGTCTGACTCACCAACAGGCAGACAACGTTGTTTACTGCAGTTCACTCTTGGACATCTGCCAAAATCATAGTTCCTGTACTTCTCCAACTGAATTGCACACTGTTAAATTAGGAAGCCTCAAATATAATGCCACAGTTTGAAACACGACCGGAGTTTCGGGGTGTGACATCTAATATTTTGAAAGAAAATAAAGCAATATTAATATGTACATTGTAAACACCTTACCATTGCAGACAATCCCTTGTTAGTTGCTATGTATCTGGCATGAATTAAACCGTAGAGCATCTCCGTCGCGGATTCGATCAGATTGTTCTGTTCCTCATCAGTTAAGCCATCTGTTGATCCCATTGAAATTTACATAAGAATTTAATAACTTCGTATTGCAATGAAAGCTGAAATCTTCATCAAAGCAATTTTGGCTGATGGACTTATCTGATTCTTACCATTGGAAGACTCAATGTCCAACATTAAATCCAGTGCATAATCATAGAATGGTACGTGGTTTCTTAAACCTGAACGGTTGAAATCATCGAGGATGTAATCATCGTCGACTTCACAGAAGAATTCATTCCCTTTCTGATTGCAGAACCATGATATCCAAGATGCATCTTCATCACCATAGCATCTAACATCTGAATCTTTGCAACTTGTATCAGCTGATTCCGCTGCACAATTGTTGTGGAGAAAACATAAATTCGAAAGATTAATTGTAAACACATCAGAAAGAATGCAACCTGGAGTTATGGAATTAAATTAGAACCAAAATTGTTGAACAGAAATGAACTAGAGATACTACTACATAAAGCGGCAGCAGCCACGGTTTCATGGCATGGGTCACCAAACCATGGCTTTTTTCACTCAGTAGCCACGGCTAGCTATCGTGGTGTTTGGAAGAAGTTTGTTCCTAATTGTTCATTCCGATTCACTCAATAAAAAGTATCGCCAAACACATAGGTAGTGGCGTTCTAAGACTTAGTGGGATAAGGCTTTATTATTGTTGTACATGGATTTCAAACGTGGATGGAAAAAGACAAATGATACTAACGCCAAACATATATAGCTTAAACCAAATTTAGAAACTCTCTAACATGAACTACTCGATCCATTCAAATGATACTAACGCAAATTCATGAAAGCAAATGCCGCGACATGTTGATATGGTTGTATTTCTGTTCCACAATTAATGTTGGAAGTTCTCTGAGTCCAAATTTCCCTTCCCATGATCGAAAACAAAAATGCCATGACATGTAAACTTTCGTTAACCATTCGACGATGAACGTTTAATGTGGGATTATGCATGCATGCATGAACGTTGAATAATGTTTGTGGAACTGAAACTTACCCTGATCATAGAATGTATCAGTATCATCGGGATTGGCAGCAAGTGACGTAGCAGGAGCCAAAGATTTGTCTCTGAGTCGATTAGGGTTCAAAGCCGGTTCAGAACGTGATCTAATTACACCTCTCTGATCTTTAGGCATAGTAATTACTCAGTCTCTCCCTTGATCTGTCTGGACCTTGCAGCAATGTACAGTTCCGGTTTCTGTATCGACGGCGATTTCAACGTACATTTGGATCTGGAAGTGGCAATCGAAGGGGAAAATAATTTTTATTTTTTATTTGATGAAATACTCGATCTCTTTTTTTTGGTTTTAGGGACAATGAAAACGTTTAGAATAATAATAAAAAAAATACTATTTTAATTTCTAAATAACTTTGTTTTAAAATTATTTATGCAATACTTGATAAACCCACTAAGGATAATATTGTTTGTCACTAAGCCATTTAATTATAATTAAATGATTGTTGTATTTTTAAGTAACAATTTTTGTTTTGTATTCCTTTGAACTCATAACGTCCTCCAATAAAGTATAGACTCAATGTCATTAGATCATATCAGATTTATCAAGTAATGATTTTATATATAAACATGGAGATGAATATTGATATGAACTATCTCATTTTATGGTTGGTTATGCTAACTGCTAAGTTCCTAGTTATATAATTTGTTTTTACTTTTCTATTCTTTATATTTCTTCCAAGTGTGGTAATAGTTTAGAACTCTAGGAGTTAGAGAAACATAGATTTTTTTTTTGTTTCTATTTTAATTTGGTTAGTTTATTATTTTACCTATGTTTGATAAATATTTTTTTCTCTACTATTTATGAATTGGGATTTTAAAAATTTATAATGGCCTTTGACTTTATATACTCAATTTTAATTGGGTGACGTCATCCACACACCCATTTTCACTCCATGTTAATTTCTACCATCTCATTTTTTTTTTAATTTATTCTATCCGATGCTCGAAATAAAAAGAATATTTGGAAGGTAAAAAGAGTTCTGTAAATCACACTAGACTTTTAATTAATTGAGCATCAAGAGGTCCAATCCACATCATGCCCATGTGAAGCAGTATGGGATCAAATCTTGTGCACCATTTTGTGTGTGATTTCTTTTGGCCTCTATTATTTGTTGATACGTGTGTAAGTTTATGACAACAAAGTTAAACAGTGGTAAGTTTTTTAAGACATGTCAATCAACGATAGATGCCACAAAGATATCACACACAAAACGGGTGCAGAAGATTTGAACTCTAACACTAGGTGTTTGACCTTTGAGAAAGTTGGCATGCAGAGAATTTTACACTATGTTTGGTAGTGTTAAAGTTGGGATAAGATTAGTTGGGCAAAAGGCCCAACTTCCAGGACCAAAAACCAGAAGTTAGGTAATGCCCTTCTTTTTATCTTTTTATGTGTTGATATATATATATATATTCGTATAATTAATAGCTAAACCGTTTTCAAATTCAGAGATATCGTATTCAGAATTTAAAACAAAATGCGTGACTCGGTGGTTTCGTGAAATTCTTCAGTTTTATGGATGGAAGACTACAATATTCCGTGATACTGTTTAGAAATTAAGCCATCATATAATACAAGAAGCCCCTAATCACACCTTAATTAGCTAGTCAAAGGTTCTGAGACATGGAAAGTAGACATGCTACAATATTATGCCTGCTCCTTGCTGGTTTGGTACTGGTTTTTATATTCAACCAGACCTCATATGGATCGATACCACTGTTTGTCTTCCAGTCTAGCCAATACTGTAATTCCTCTACCCAGGTAATATCAACCATCTTTTTCTACTTTTGTTTTGTTGTTTTTATTTTGCTTAATCTATAATTTTGTGGTGATTAATCTGTTCATATTAAATTTGAAGAGCAACACAAGAAATTATACAGATGCGCTTGAATCAGCTTTATCCGAGGTTTCCATGGCAAACAAGACTGTGATAATTGCAATTGTAAATAAGGCCTATGTAGAAGGAGATAAGCCAATGCTTGATTTGTTTTTAGATGGTTTCTGGCTTGGAGAAGACACAAGAGGCTTGATTTCTCACCTACTTCTTGTTGCGGTCGACCAAACATCTTTCGAACGTTGTAGGTTTCTCCACCTTCACTGCTACAAACTCGAAGCAGATGATCACGCCAATTTTGAGGCTGAGAAACTCTACATGTCACAGGAATTTATTAAGATGATGTGGAGGAGAACTCTCTTCCTCAAAGATTTGCTCAAGCGGGGCTACAGTTTCGTATTCACGGTAAGCTTTCTCAACATAATTAATTTGATCATCATCGTATTGTGAATTGTTTGACATCATAACATGCCATATCCTTGTAAAAATTCAATTAGTATTATGTTGTAATTTAAATGATACCTTATTTTTGTGTTAATAGTTCTAAATTGGACTTATAATTAGCTTAAATACATATATATATATATATATATATATATATATATATATATATATCCAATTTCCAATTCCAGGACATAGATGTGATGTGGCTAAGGAATCCATTTCCAAGGCTAAATAGCTTCAATGAGAGCATGGATCTTCAAATCAGTGCTGATAAGTTCAATGGGGATCAATGGTCTGAATCCAACCCGATCAACACAGGCTTTTACATGGTCAGATCCAACAACCGAACAATTTCGTTATTTGAAAAGTGGTACAACAGGAAGAATAACTCCACCGGAGTGAAAGAGCAGGATGTTTTAGACAGCATGATGCATGAAGGTGTTTTCATAGAATTAGGCCTCAGTGTGAAATTTTTAGACACGCTTTATTTCAGTGGCTTCTGTGAAGTCAGCAAGGACTTCAAAGCTGTCACGACGGTTCATGCCAATTGCTGCCGAACTATAAGCGCCAAGGTGGCTGATCTGACGGCGGTCATTCATGATTGGAAGAAGTTCGAGAGCTTATCGAATTCGAACCAGACATCGAGTTTGAAATGGACTAACCATGTGAACTGTGAGGGTTCCTGGAAAGATTTCAATGTGACCTTGGGCTAGCTAGTTTTGATTGACTTCTAGTAACACATAGTTTAAGCTACTTAGCACTACGGTCTAGTGATTTTTCTTTTCACTTGTAAGTGAAATATCTTAGGTTCGATTTTTGCCGAACCACAATATTGTTAGTCCGTTGTGAGGCAAAGCTCATCCCCTCTTTTAGTGTAGATAATATCGTTTGTTATAAAAAAACACATAATTTAAGTAGGATTATATACCTTGTGTTTGATAAATTTTAGGCGACTCAAGTGTTTTGTATTTATCTTCACAATAATATCGTTTTGGATTTTAAAATATACAACAGTTAATATATCCCAACAATACGCCTAATATATGAATCACAAATATTGCTCTCTTGAACTCTTCAGTTTTTGTATGGATAGAGAGTTTTTTTTCAAAATAATTTTTTTTTAAACATCTTTTTCTGTTTAATCTAATAATTATTGTGTTAATTTGATACGTGCAACCAATACTGCATTGGATACGGGATACGGCACTAGATTGACGTGTCCGTATGGATTGGGTCTCCTTCGCCTCAAGTAGCTCGTCCAATTGTGATTTCGAGTGCTTCCTTATGCTCCTATGTTTTAATTGGAGGGGAAGGAATGAGCTTCTGTGGAACGGTAAGTATGAAGGCCCTAACTTGGTTGTTTGCCGCTCTATCAGCCGGTGGCAGGAGTCCCAACCTCCCACTGGTTTTCCAAAAATTATTAAAGTCTATGGGGCTTTCTTAATTAAAGACCCACCAATTTCCTCCATCTCTCCGTTTTCAGCACACCACCATTAGGACTAAATATTTAATTGTGCACTCTAAACTTTTTATATTTAGAAAAAAACATAACTTTTTATATTTAGAAAAAAAATACTCTTATAAAGAGTGCATGATTAGATTTTTGGAGTGACAATAGCAGTTATCTTAATTAATTTATTTTAGTCTTCTATAATATAAACGACATTTATAGCGCTATTCTAATGTTCCTTTGACGGAATGAGAAATAGTGAGAGATGAAGTATACTTCTAGAGAATTAAGTGTGAGAAAAAAGAATTCTAAAAGAGATATTAGATGGCGTTCGAGTTTTAAGAGTGTTGCGATAAATATATCAATCATAAAACCATAATTATCCATGTTCTTTCTCAAATTAAGCTGTATCTTCCATAGATAGTGGTTTTTTTTGTTTAGTTAACACAAAGGGTGGATATGAAATCCCAAACATAGACGACATCCAAACTATCCGAAAAGCTCTCCAAGTCTCACATATTTTGGGTTAATAACCCCTCTAATCATGCACTTTACCTTAAAGCACCTAATGCTTTGTGGACTATAAAATCAAAACCTTCTACTCACCATTTTAATCAATAGCACCCCAAAAAATAAAATGGCCGGAAAAAACACATGCATGGGCGTCCATGCAGCTCTAATTATGACAATTCTCCTCACCGCCACCGTTGCCACAGCGGACGACAATGCACCGATACCATCCGACCATTCCCAAATCAACACATGGTTCAATAACAATGTGAAGCCATACACAGAACGGCAGAGCACGCTTGACCCTGCCATTGTGACGGCCGAGGCTGGTCAAACAGTCATCAAGGTCATGCAAGATGGAAAAGGAGACTTTAAGACCATTACTGACGCTATTAATAGCATTCCGGCCGGGAACACCAAACGTGTCATTGTGCACATTGGCGGAGGAGAGTACAACGAAAAAATTACGATTCCACGAAATAAACCATTTGTCACATTATATGGTTCTCCAACAAACATGCCAAATTTGACATTTGATGGTACGGCCCAAAAGTATGGAACTGTAAACAGTGCTACAGTGATTGCAGAATCTGACTACTTTATTGCCATTAACCTTCTTATTAAAGTAAGTACTAACTATGTCATATCACGTGATATTATCATCATACAATTATTTTTCATTAACGTTCTCTTGGTGGATTGGTTTGTGTAGAACTCTTCGCCAAGGCCAGATGGGAAAAGAGTGGGAGCGCAGGCAGTGGCATTGAGGGTGTCGGGCAACAATTCAGCCTTGTACAATTGCAAGCTGGTTGGATTTCAGGACACCCTTTGTGATGACAGGGGCAATCATTTGTTCAAGGACTGCTACATTGAAGGCACTGTGGATTTCATTTGGGGAAGTGGAAAGTCTCTCTATTTGGTAATGCATCCCTATCTAACATTATAATTCCCAAATAAAGCCGGTGATTTTAACCTTACATGGACGAGTCTCACCATAATGGTGTATTTTACGTACATGTTGTGAGAAAAAAAAAGCTAAATATGGTTGACTCATACAATTATCTTTTTCTTCGTAAAAAAAATTATGTATAAATTTAGGTCATATATAAGAACAACATTGGTGAAGTGGGTTGTGTGAATCTCACCAACAGTGGATCATTCCAGATTGTTCCCCTTCCCCCTCTCAAACATAATTTGGGTGGATTAACAAGAAGATATATATAGTTAATCTTTTTGTTTGTCTATACAAGTCATATTGGTTTTGAACTCTTGATGGTCGGTGACTAATAATATAACATATAAATGAGGGGTGCAGAACACTGAGTTGCATGTGCTGGGAGATACAGGAATAACAGTGATAACAGCACAAGCAAGGGACTCAGCTTCGGAGGACACTGGATACTCATTTGTTCATTGCAACGTAACTGGGATAGGCAGTGGCACATATTTGGGCAGGGCTTGGAGAGTCAGACCCCAGGTGGTGTATGCTTACACCAGCATGACTGAGGTGGTTAACCCTGCCGGTTGGAGCAATGATAACCACCCCGAACGTGACAAGTAAGCAAATTATGTTAATTAGTACAGGATTAAGCATTTTCATATAATTAGTTTCGAGAGTTAATAATATAATTTGAAATTGCAGCACTGTGTCCTACGGAGAGTACAAGTGCATGGGTCCAGGTTCAAGTACATATAATAAAAGAAATTTGAGCAAAGAGCTGACAGACGAACAAGTCAAGCCTTTCATTAGCCTTGGATATATTCAGGGTTCCAAATGGCTGCTTCCTCCTCCAAATCCAAAAGTGTAGTTATATATATACATATATACACATAGTACGTGTGTGTGTGTATATATATATATGCATTCAGTGGCGAAATCATGAATTGTCGTGGAGAGGGGTGAAAAGGGGTACTGTTGACCAAGAACACCGTAGAACGATTTCTCAGTCATGGATAGAGATTTTTGAAATAATGGCCAAACCGCCAGCTGAATATTTTTGTTCACAAAATTATATATAAAGTCTATTTCAATTGCATTAATCGCATATATAAATCAAAATATAAGGCAAAATAATAGAATTAAAAATAGGGTGAAGTGCTGATTTAGTTCTTGAATTATCACCTCAGTCAAAATTAGGTCCCTAAATTATTTTTTCAGTAAAATTAGTCCCTAAATTCATAAAAATTGCTAATTTCATCCCTATTATTATATTCAAAGCAATTTTTCGTCAATTTAAGTCACTTGACATACTTTAGAGTGTAATACCGTCATTTTTGTTTGCTTATAAGCCCTTAACATTTCATATAGGTTGCGAATCTAATGTTTAATTTACCATCCAAAGTTAACTTCATACACTATTTCTTTATGAAAAATTACCAATCTACCCTCCAATGTGTATCACATGCAAGTAACATGACTTAAATTGACAGAAAATTGAATATAGTAGCTTTGAATCTAATATTAGGGATGTAACTGGCAGATTTTTATCGTTTAAGGAATGATTTTTTTGAAAAATAGTTTAAAGACCTAATTTTCACTTAGATGAAAATTCAGAGACTAAATTGGCAGTTCACCATTAAAAATAATTAAACGCTTATTTTATTGGAAACTGTATTAGCACAACAAAAATCTCATTTTATACTTTTCATAAATGTATTTTTCTTTCTAATTACAGAAAATTTATAAAGCAAAATGAAATTTTGAAAGTACCAATTTCCATTTTATTCTCTAACCTAATTCAACATCAGTTGCATCTTTCCAATTCAAATTTGTTTGAGGCTAATGAAAAAACATTAGCTCATGCCTACAACTCTACAAGGTCTGACCAGCCCAATACAACAAATCCAAAAGCACAAACGACATACGTTTGCTAAACGCAAAACCTAAAAACTAATCACCGGCGCAACGTGTTAGAGCACCTAAGTAATAGGTAACTCAATCTACTTAAATGAATTGTAACTGCTTGCAATGAACAATAACTGCTCAAGTGTATCTCCATCCTAATTGAATAGTTCAAGCAATTCGTATTAAAATATTAGTATTTTTTATTTTATAAAATAATAAAAGATAACTTTATTTTTAATTTCGGATAATAATAAAGGATTAGTTGAAAGTATTCGAAAATATTAAAATGTACTATAAAGTGAAAGAACATGATTACAAATTTATAGAAAAAATTATAATCTTTTATATTTTTAATTAGTTTTTTTTTTTATAATTTTTGTATAATTTCTATAATTTTTTAATAATTTAAATCGTGTCTGACGTTATCATCAGCCTTCGTCACATAAGCAAGGTACTGAACTAGATGATTATTGCCTGACTTCTCCATCAGGCTCGCCTTGTGTCCAAATGTCTGAGTGGGTTAGAATGTTTTAAGGAAAAGAGAGAGAGGATTGGATTGCCTATCCTCAAAACAATAAGTTACATAGAGTTGCTCTTAACCAAACACGGAAGCCAACTGGCCAACGCATCACTAAGCCACCCTTTAATATTGCCCACTTCATTCCACCGTTATGCCCAAAACATTCTCAAATTCCCAAAATGCCACCCACTTACTCACCAATCTCACCTAACAAAAGCGATGGCACCCATGTAAATTCTGTATAATTCAAGCCTACCTTCCCGAACCAACCCTTCCCTCCAAAAATTCCAGAACGCTCCAACTCCACCTGTAAGCTTCCCACCGTCTTCCCTTTACATTCTTTTCAATTTCATTAAAAACAATCCAGAGGCGCAGCAGTAGGGAAGGACTTCAAGACCATCACTTCTGGGCTTCATTTCCGAGGAGGGGAGGGTGGCCGATCCTCCATGCCCCTCTGTAGCTTTGTTTATGTTGGAGTTTGAATGAAATTTCAAATCAAATGCAGGGTATTATTGAAAATTTTGAGTAGAAATTTCATTGTTTGACATTGATCATTACCAAAAGGTTTCTTCACTTTATAAGGCTTTGTCCCTTATAGATAGTAATTAAAGTAATGGACCATGGAGAATGAAATTGGGTT